GAAACTAGGGACAGGACAGAGAAGGAGCGCCCTCTGGCTGCAGAGGGCGTGACAGCTATGTTTAAGTGCATTCACAAAGATTTTTAGAGGCCAATAAAAAATCTTGTGTGAAAGTATAAAAAAACACAAATAGAATTATCTTGGAAATGTAGCAAAGCCTCACAAGCTCTCACAAGCCAGTTAGTTTTAAATGTGCTGTTTGGAAATGGGACATGTCAATATGAGCTTTGAATATTAAAATCCTGTCTGACCAATGCTGAAAACCTCTCTGAATAAGTGACTGCTTAAATGATTGACAACAATGATTTTGGCATACTCCCTTACGATGATCAAATTTAAGCTTATTGATATAACCATAATGTAACTGTTTTATCCTGCATGAAAAAAAAAAGTTTGAGATGAGATTTGATCCAGAGAATGTAATGCTATACAATGTATTTTCACAATTTTTAATCATAATTAGTTTAATTTATCTGAAGGTTCAAATTATATGAGAATTATCATGTTTCAAAATACAAAACAGCACTCCAAAACTTTTTTTTTGGGAAATGTATATGTATTGTTTGTAATTTTACAAAATGGGACATGATAAGAAACCATTGGACATATTATTGCATGCAGTGCAGTCCAGGTAACCTAATGTTTAGGCAAATATCCTACAACAAGAACCTGCTCAGTAAACGATATAAGTAATTCTCTTGAATATCCTAGGCTAGAACAAAAGTACTGAGTACACCAAACATGTTAGATTTCCATATGAACTTCCTTCACATATTGATTCCAAGAACAGAGATGGAATTCTAATATACTGTACATTATAATAGGAATTCAAGAGGAAGGTTAAATTCTAATTTGCCGCTTGATTCTAGTCTCACACCCATGACAAATCTCACACTTGCATCCCTCCCATTTTCACATCGATATCTTTGCAGCAAACCCCCTAGTTCCATCTTCACAATAGTTAATGGGGGGAGGGGGTGTTGAGCAGCCTATCCTACCTTGAATGGAAACTGGAAACAATGAATTGAACAAAACACAGGCAAATCCTTGTGCAGAGCCATTCACCAAAAAGCTTTGGACCGGGAAGCAGATTCATACAGTAGTTCAAAGTGACAACGACCCCAAGCTTACAGCCAAAACAACAATGGAGTGGCTTCAGAACATGAAGGTCAGTATTGCAATTTTTAAAGGGTGGGGATTCTTTCTAAAGACACAATATATGAAATATTATATGACATTTATATGAAATATATAAGACTTATAATTATACATATATTTAATTAAATATACATGTGAAGAAAGCCATTTGGTGTGAGAGGAAAATCAGTACACACCTATTCTAATTAATAATAATAATTGGCATAATATTTTTTTCTGGGTTGTTAGGAAGTTAGAAATCTGGGATATCTTATTAGAAGGTTTGTACTTGTAACTTGTGTTTTGTATCTTTATGTTCTGTGTTGTTTAGTGTGTGTACTGTCAATATTAATAAATATCTTTTTAACTAAGTGTGCCTGAATTATTACTCTTTTCACCAAATCTGTGTCAGAGAACAAAGACCTTATGTGCCTCTTACTCTTCCAATTGCTCAGAAATATTCCTGGCAAACTCATCTATATGCTGGTGGTTATGATTATTTTGTTTATTGATTCAACTGCTCAATAATTCCTGATATTCACTATTCCCATAACCACCTATTTGTAACACTGCATTAAGGCGTTTTTTAAAATAATTTGATAGACAATAGAGATAAGAAATTCAGGAAAATGGATATACGCTTTCATACTCACCTTCCCACATATTTTACAAGCAGGTGGACTCCCACAGCACCAAAAAGACCTCCAACGGCAAAAATGGAGACTGTTACTGACCACAGAATAGTCAGAGATCCTGCTTCAATGGGATGGTCATATCTTTCAATCCAGGTTTGGTTGTAAAAGGCTTTAACATACTATGAGAGTAAAACAAAAGGTCCATTTAATAATGAAAATACATTTTCATTAATAATTTATTAAACAAAATGTCTAAATTTGTAGTTATGCTATGGAGTGCAGTTCAGTCTGTAAAAGTAAATATGCATTGTGCTATACATCTGCAATCCAACATTAAAATGCCTATAAAATATTCATTTATCCACTATTTAACTGCATTCTGAGGCATTAGAATCACATTGAACACATTTGACACAAAAATGACACAGACAATTTGCATTAGATACAGATAATGTTTTTTTTTCCTTGCAGCATCGATGACAAAGATAACATACAACATAAATATCTATGTTTCAAAGTCTCAGGAAATACTTCAAAATGTTTTCCCTCTAACCATCTTCATACCTTTTCATCCAATTTAGGGACACAGGGGAGCCTGAACCTATTCAGGCAAGCAACACACCCTGGATGTGATGTCTGTCCATTGCAGGGCCCATACTCACACTAGGGCCAACTTTCCCATAAGCCAATCACCCTACTAATATGCTTTTGGACAGGAAGGAAACTAAAGAACTCAGTCAGAGGAAACCCACTAGAACATGGAGAGAACATACAATCTCCATGCTGATTGCACCTCAGGCCCAGAATTGAACCTAAGACTCTAGCCCTGCAAGGTAGCAATGCTAACCACTGTGCTACTCTCCTGCTTTACTTAATTCAGCTTAAACTCTTTTCAATTATCAGAACTGCTATAATTGAAAATTAAATAATTTGAATTGTTCCATGTTTTCTACCTCAGTACAGTATATCGGTCTCATGTCTAGCTCTCAAAATCCATAGCTTCCTGATTCTGGTGTGGAGATCATAGTACATAAATCCTAGTGTACTGTCCCAAGCCAAGGTCTATCACACTCACTCTAACAAAACGTCCCAGTTCAAAAATCAAGTGTAATCTCAGACACTAATAATTGCCCCCTTCCCATTTATACAGTAGGCTTTATTACAGTACTTCTGAAACTATATGATTTATCAGCAGCCTGGTTGCACCTGGGCCTTCACTGTCATTGACAGAATTTTGACTTGGTGCACTATATTATACAGTGATTACTTCTACAGTTGAAAATTCACTTTTTATTTCATAATAAACTTCAAACATCATAAAATATCTATTATTATACAAGGCTCCATGATGCAATGGAATATGATATTCCATTTTCAATCTTTCCCCTGCGAGGCATGAAATTTAATTTACTAAAAATTAACTGAATACAGTACATCACTACCCCTAGACCCAACATTGACTATAATAAAAACTTGATTTAAAATAATTTTCTTGTAACATAAAAAAATACTCCCCTTTGTTCTGGTATTGAAAGAAATATTGTAATTCACTATCACCTACATTCATGCCTAAAACCTTGAGATGAGATTTGATCAGAGGATTTGGAATCACATTGCATTTTTAAGTGCTAAAGAAGTGGTTTTGTCCTTTTACTTTTCTCAAAAATTGCCAGTGGCTATATCACCCTGCAGCTCTCAACTGGTTACCCACTGAAGCTAAGCAGCTTGGAGCCTGGTCAACCTGGAGATGAGACCTCCTGGAAAAAGTTATGGTTGCTGCTGGAAGTGGTGTTAGTGGGATCGGTGGGGGTTGGCACCCACCCTGCAGTCTGTGTGGGTCCTAATGCCCCAGTATAGTGACAGGGACACTATACTGTAGTGGGCACCATCTTTTAAACCGGGGTCCTGACTCTCATTGGTCATTAAAGATCCCCAGGAATTTCTTGAGAAGAGTAGGGAGTTATCCCGGTGTCCAGGCCAAATTTCCCCGCTCAGCCTTTACTGTGGCTTCTAAATTGTCCCCATGTATGATTGGCTTGCACATGCCCCGAGATGGACTAGCTCCCCGACCAGGGTGTACCCCACCTTGCGCTTGTTGCTTGCCAAGTAGGCTTTGACTTCCTGCGACACCTTATGGTAAAAAGCGTGGTACATGACTTTTTTCAAAATCTAACCTTTAAGGCAATAAGATTGCAAGAGGACATTAAACATTGCATTACAAACATCCTTCATTCAAGTTGTAAATAATTCAGTGGTAGCAACAAGATAACAAAAAATCTATTTCAATTACATTTCATCAAATGTATCCAGAGGCATGATAGCAATGTGATTTCAGTTAAGCTTTTTAAATTATCCAAAAGATTTACCCATTTTTTCTCCATAGAGGTTTGGTGATCTATGTCATGAAAACTGTGAAACCTTGATTGAAATGCACCACAAAAGAAGATAAATCTTCAAGAGGATAAATCTGAAATATTTTCTTCCCTTACACCTTTCTCATTTCTTTGTACCATGTCGAGTATGACTTTGTCACATTTTATTTATTTTTGAACACTCTTCTATCTTTTTTACCTCTGTTGAAAGTTACCTACACAACATATGAAAACTTTCTGAATTTTGAGTTTAAATTAAAATGCATGTCATTAAGCAGTAACCTTAGTGATATTTTCTAATTCCAAACTTTCTCTAATTCTACTTTCTTTTGCCAAACAAACGTTCTTAAAATGTGTTACTGTATATGATTTATTTCTTGGAATAGCCTTAACCTTTGATGAGTAACATTTAACAAGTGAAAGAATGAAGGTTTTCATTTGAGTTAAAAATGAATATCAGCTGTCATCATTGACAGCAACACATTTGAGTGAAGTGAAAAATTAATTTGCACAAAAATATCCAAACATTGTCCAAACATTTTAAATAAACACTCAGTTCATTACAAAAGACTAAAGAACAGCCAGTTGTTTTTAGTGATGATAGTAAAGGCACATTTGTGCACATAAGTATAACATTCATTAGGAAATTGTATTTAATCAATAACTGTCATAAGACTACTCTCTACTGTAACTGGGGCTCAGTTCTAAACAAGTACCAAATTGAACCAAAGCACAATCAAAAAGATACAAAAAAGTCCTAATGTATTCAAAAGGCAGCAGCAAGCTACAACAAGAGACCAAACTGCAGTCCTCCAGTGCCCATTACAAAACAACCACAGCTCCTTCCTCCTTAGATCTCACAAGAGAACTCTCTCAGCTGAGCTCAACCTCTGCATTTTATTGTGGAGGCTCCACCTCCTGTAACCTTAAAAAAACTTAAAGATACATTAACCCTTTTCACATTTGCACCAAATAAATACCCCATTATACCAAAACACAATACCTAAAATATACCTCAGTGACCACAAAATATTTCTACAATATATTTTCTTCAACATATTGTAACATAAATAATTACTTTTAAAACACCGGTGTTACCAAAGGGATGGGGAGGCCAACTCTCCTCCAGTCCAGAAGAGGACACTGTTAAAACAGGCCAGAGTACGTCTGGTAGCTGTTTCCTAGAGTTTAAATGTGGCCCTCACTCTTAATGTGGTTTTGCCTATTAAGCAGGTAATGACCTAACAAAGAATGACTGCAGCTACCAAACATTTCAAACTTCATCAATTGTATTTCTCCTTTTTTGGCCTCCTAAACAAAAGAACCTAAACAAAAAGGTAACTACTAATTTAGTAAGTCTAAATCCCTTTGTTTAAGGGGCCTGCATCACCCTGCAGGCCATGGGATAGGCCCCATCACAATAACAATGTTAAATGAAAATGCCTTTTCAACTGTTGAAATATGTGCTGAAAAATAAGGGCAGCAATAATTATGTAGCAGTGTCTTTTAAAAATTAAGTAATGACTTACTGAGGATGGTGCATTGACTACTGACAAATTGTAGCCATACAAATAAGAAGACCCAAGAGCTCCAAAAAAAGATGAAATCACAAGACGAGCTGTCCATATCTAAAAGAAAAACAGAGATACTGTAAGGTACATTTCATTTATCAGTGTTCAAAACTGCTTTAAAAATAGTAAATATGAAAAACAAATTTAAATAAGCTGCAGATTTTTTTCTTTTCAAACTGAACAACATAAAAATAACAGCACATCAAATTATACTACAGATGCAGCCATTCAAAGTGAGCGGTACAGACACGTACCGCAGGTAATTGGCTGCGGTGTCGCGTATCATGACGTAAGATGAC